TTCCCTCTGTTTCCAGTTCCTATCTGTACCAGTGTACATCCTCTGGTCTAGCCAGATTTGTAAGGTAGAATTGGGATCATGATAATGGGTGGGGGCCGGGCAGGAAGCATTTAAGAACTAGAGAAAAATTGTATGTTTCATCTTTGCTACACTGTACCCTGACTGGCTTGTCTCCTCCCCGCGACCCTTCTGTAAGGAGATGTCCAGTTGCCTACAGATGAGCTTTGGGTCCCCATTCCGCACTCCCCCTCATTCACAATATGATTTTTTGTGTTTTGATGCCTGATACCTGATCCCTTGGACAACTCATGATCGCACAGGCTGGTGTGCTTCTTCCATGTGGGCTTTGTTGCTTCTGAGCTAGATGGCCACTTGTTTACCTTCAAACCTTAAAGACTCCAGATGCTATATCTTTTGATAGCTGGGCACCATCAGCTTTTTTCACTACATTTGCTTATGCACCCATTTGTCTTCAATGATCGTATCAGGGAGGCGAGCACACAGTGATATGATTTTTTGTTCTTTGATGCCTGATAACTGATCCCTTCGGTACCTCATGATTGCACAGGCTGGTGTGCATTTTCCATGTGGACTCTGTTGCTTCTGAGCTAGATGGCTGCTTGTTTACCTTCAAGTCTTTAAGATCCCAGACGCTAAATTTTTTGATAGCCAGGATCCATAAGCTTTCTTCACCACATTTGCTTACGTACCTGCTTTGTCTTCAGCGTTCGTGTAGGAAGCCATGAATCATGGAATGCCAGTTTAATAGAACAAGGTGTTCTTACATTGAGGGAATACTTGAGTGGAGGCCCAATGTCCATCTGCTACCATAATACTAAACCTATAAATATTTGCACATAGATCTATTTCCTCATCCTCATATATAAATATATTTACATATGAGCATGACTTTATTTAGACCTCTATAAAAGCCCTTTGCCTCCTAGCTCTTTCCTCTATTTCCCTTTACTTAACTTTTGTCCCACTATCATGCTCAGCCTTCATTTGGGTTTCAGTAATTTCTCTCGGTTACATTACCCTTGATCATGCTCTACCAGGTCTCGCACACCCTCCTCACCACCGATTTGGATCACATGTTCCCTTGTCCCTGTGTTTTTTAAACCACTTCCTTTCCTCTCCCACCTCCTCCTCTCCCATGTCCCCCCAGAACCATAGGTCCCGTTGATTTCTCTTCCAGATTGTTCATTCAGCCTATCTTATTTAGACAGACCTGCAGAGATAATAACGTGCACAAAAACAAGACAGAGCAAAACCAAGCAACAAAAGAAACAAAACAACGAAAAGCCAATGACACAACAACGACAAAGAAAAGCCTGTAGTTAGTTCAAGGACTGTTTGTTGGCCTTTAGGAGTGTTTTCTGGTCGAGTCTGATGGGGTGCCAACCCCTGACCCCAAATTCTATTTTTGGTATTATTCCATGGGGACTTAGTTGCTCTGTTCCCCTTGCTGTTCTGTTGCACTCCCTTAGTTTTGTGCTTCGGTATGGTGAGACCAGATCGGGCACAATTCCCACACTGTGTCTCCAGTGTTCCCCTTTAGGGCTATGGGTCAGTGAGGGATGTCTTGTCTCATAGGGGCTGACCATATGGTCTTCTCTGCGGATTGGCTGCTCTGGGCGGGAATATCATCCCCAAAGCTTGGTGGTCCAGGATGTGCTCCACTCTCTCTTCCTCCCCCTTCATTTGATCCTATGTGTTCTGATCAGACATGTCTCTCTCCCCGAGCTGAAGCTTCAGTGATGTAAAAGACACTTGTAGTTAAAAGAAAGCTGTATATACTTAGATATTTTGGAATATATCTTTGATCAGAAGTTGTATCCAAAATGTACAACTTTCCAACTCACTAATAAGTAAACAAGCAATCTGTTTAAAGATGTACCTAAGTACATTGTTGCTTGGTTTTGCTCTGTCTTGTTTTTGTGCATGTTGTTGTCTCTGCAGGTCTGTCTGGATAGGACGGGCTGGATGAACAATCTGGAGGAGAAAACAATGGGACTGACAGTTCCAGGGGGACTTGGGAGAGGGGGAGGTGGGGGGAAGGGAAGAGGTGTTAACAAACCCAGGGATAAGGGAACAAGTGATCCAAATCAGTGGTGAGGTAGGTGTGGGAGACCTGGTAGGGCATGATCAAGGGAAATGTAACAAAGAGGAAGTGCTGAAATCCTGGTGGGGACTGAGCATGATGGTGGGACGGGAGGAAAATCGAGGGAAATGGAGGGAGGAACTGGGAAGCAAAGGGCATTTATGGAGGTCTAGATAAAGACATGTACATATGCAAATGTATATATATATAGACATGTACATATGCAAATGTATATATATAAGGATGGGGAAATAGATCTATGTGCCTATATTTATAGGTTTAGTGTTAGGGTAGCAGAAGGACATTGGGCCTCCACTCAAGTACTCCCTCAATGCAAGAATACTTTCTTCTATTAAATTGGCATTCTGTGATGCTCACCTTCCCGACACAACCGCTGAAGACAAAGCGGGTGAATAAGTAAATGTGAAGAAAGCTGATGGTGCCTGGCTATCAAAAGATACAGCGTCTGGGGTCTTGAAGGCTTGAAGGTAGACAAGCGGCCATTTAGCTCAGAAACACCAGAGCTCACGTGGAGGAACATATCAGCCTGTGTGATCGCAAGGTGTTGAACGGATCGCTGGAGACAAATGAGTGCATGAGCACTCAGGAAAGCTGATGGTGCCCAGCTATCAAAAAGTATAGCATCTGGGGTCTTAAAGGCTTGAAGGCAAACAAGCGGCCATCAAGCTCAGGGGCAGCAGAGCCTACATGGAAGAAGCACACCAGCCTATGCAATCACGAGGTGTACAAGGGATCAGGTATAAGGCATCAGAACCAAAAATCTTACCATAGTGAATGATGGGGGGAGTGCAGAGTGGAGACCAAGCCCATTAGTAGGCCACTGGAAATCCCCTTGCAGAGGGGTTTCGGGGAGGAGACGAGCCAGTCAGGGTGCGATGTAGCAACGATGAAAAATACAATTTTCCTCTAGTTCCTAAATGTTTTCTCCCCGCTCCCACTATCATGACACAAATTCTACCTTGCAAGTTTGGGCTAGACCAGAGGATGTATACTGGTACAGATGGGAACTGGAAATCCAGGGAATCCAGGGCGGATGATCCCTACAGGACCAGTGGTGTGGGTGGTGATGCTTCGAGGGTGGAGGGAGAGTGGGTAGGAAGGAGGGAACCGATTGCAGGGAGCTGTGTGTGGCCTCATCCCTGGGGGACGGACAGCGAGGGGTGGGTAAGGGGAGACGTCGGACAGGGCAAGATATGACAAAATAATAATTTATAAATTATCAAGGGTTCATGAGGGAGGGGGGAGCGGGTAGGGAGGGGAAAAAATGAGGACCTAATTCTGGGGGCTTAGGTGGAGAGGAAATGTTTTGAGAATGATGAGGGCAATGAATGTGCAAATGCGCTTTGCACAATTGATGTTTGTATGGATTGTGATGGGAGTTGTGTGAGCCCCTAATAAAATGATTAAGAAAATAAATAAATAAAAATGTACCTAAGACATCTCACTGAAGAAAACACACTGATATCAAAAAAGCATATGATGAGATGCTCAAAATATTTGTCATTGCTGTGAGGTGCTGTAGAGTTGGTTCTGACTGTCATCAACCCTGTAAACAATTATCACACAGCACTTCCTTGTCCTGCACCATTTCATAATTGTTATGTTTGAGTGAACTGTTGCAGCCACTGCCAATCCCTCTCCTTGAAGATCTTCCTCTTTACCGAAAATGAAATACCATTATATACCTATTAGCATGATTAAAAAACAAAACATCGACAATATATTTATTAACCTTTTATTTTAGAGTGGCCCATCTTACTTCTTGGGGGTTTGGAGGAGGCGGCTGACAGTGACACCATCAAGTCTCATGCTTAATTCTTTGTTGCCTTTGACCTTTATAAGGAAAAGGAATTAGTAAAGGAAATTTGCTTTTTGCGTTGTCTAATCATGCTTTTATTACCTGATGTCACACTTATTTGTTACATGGTTTAATTTTATATTTGGGATAACACTATAAGGTTTTTCTTATTTAACCTAAGGATGATTCTCTCCCCCCCATTCCCTCCACCTCACAAATTAGGAGACATCCTGTGATCAGAGTGAAGGTTCGTGCTATTCTGAAGAAGAATGGAAAAGTGATAGAAAAAGTGAAACTGACAGTGAAAGTTCAAGGTATATGTTTAATTGCTTTGTACTTATAAGCCATTTAGTTATAGTCTTGGATGTAACCAAACATGGATGGTATCTAATATGAAAGAATGTGCAACTTCGAACCAATTAACATTTAATTTTAGTACACTTAAAAGGAGAAAACTTGCCTTTCTCTCACATCCTTGCTTCCGAGATGAAGAAAATGCTAACAACTTTCGTGCTGAGAAAGGCTGTGGCCATGTGCAGCTCATTCACTGCATGAACTGCACCCACTGCGCGCCCAAAGACCAGGCCATTAAGAAGTTTGTCATAAGAAACATAGTGGAGGCTGCAGCTGTCAGAGACACTTCTGAAGTGAATGTTTTCAACGCATGTGTGCTTCCCAAACTATATGTGAAGCTGCATGACTGTGTGAGCTGTGCATTCACAGCCAGGTGGTCAGGAACCGGTCAGTGAAGCCTGGAAGGACCAAATCTCCTCCCCCCCACCTCGCTTTAGACCTGCAGGTGCTGCCCCACGACCTCCTCCAAAGCCTATGTAAAGACTAGAAGCGGAAGAAAAACCAACCTGAAAGGAAATCAAATGGAAATTGTTCTTTAGAAAAAAGAAAACTGGCTCAACTGGTTTGTTATTATTTTTAATGTACAGAAGATAACCGTAGGCCTAGATGCATGTGAGCCAACAGTGTAAAATAAGTACTGACTCAGTACCATCAAGTTGATTCTAACTTACAGTCAGTGATCCTATGTGGAGTTTCAGGAGTTGTAAATGTTTATGGAACTAATAGCCTTATCTTTCTCTTACAGAGTAGCAGTCTTGATTTATCTTATCTCTCTTGCCCCTCTCCATGTTAAAAATGCTATTTTCCCTGCTCCTTTCCCTCCTTCTATTATGATTAGGAATGATTTATTTGTTTAAAGGATAGAAGTTTGGAATTTTTTTCTTTTAATTAAACATTTCTTATTCAAACCTGTTGCTGTTTTAAATTTTTTGAGAACTTACTTGTTTAGAATATCTTTTTGGAACTCTGTTTTCAGAGGTGAGAGGTGGTGGAACCTGGCCTGAGGATCAACCCTTTCAAAAAGTGTTTGAAAAGTTGCTTTAATTTTTGTTTTTTAAAATATCTTTTTTTAGTTACATTTTTCCATGAACTTTTTGGAACTCACTTGATTTGCTGAATGAAGCTATTTGTGAGTCGTGAACTAGTTTTCTATTTGTCTAATTTCTTGTTTGACTTAGATTTTGTTTAGGAATGTGTGGGAGGTAGCCCCTAAAATATGAATTACCTTCAGTTGGGGAGAAGTCCTGACCCCTAAAAAATGTTGTTTGACATGACCTTGCTGCCTTTGGGTTTCTCAGTGTGTTCACTGCTTAGTTGTGATTCTAGTTCAAATTTCTAATCTGTACTTCAAGAGCCTCCTTTAAATTATGGGCTACTCTTAGAGTTATGTATTATTTCTACTTTTTCCACACTCTGCGCTTTATGTTCTATAAGGTGAATTGTGTGATGCTTCTAAATATTTATCTCCCTGAGGTTTTATCTATATTACACTTAAAAAACATCCTTTCTAAATTTCCAATCTCAGCTAAAATGTTTACTTTTTTAAAATTATTTTTTTAACAGTGAATTTTCATTAGGTCTTCTCTTTTCGTGCTCCTCTTTTCTGACCAAAGGCTGTATGATTAATTTTACTGTATGTGTTTAGATTCTCATTCCATACAATTTAAAGTATTCTCCTTTTCTAGTGACTCTTCATCTAGGTATTCTGATTGGACAGCTGATGCAGGCATCAATTTGCAGCCGCCTCTACGGACATCATCTCGTCGACGAGTAACCCGGTTTTGCAGCAGTAGTTCAGAGGATGAAATGTCTACTGAAAATTTATCTCCTCCAAAAAGGAGAAGAAAGAGAAAGAAAGAGAGAAAGCCTAAAAGAGAGGTAAGAAAAATAAATCTTTACAAATGTATCTATTCATACTTTTATGAATGTGTTTCTGCTTTTCTATATTTAACAGGTTGACATCTGGGAAATCCCATTTTTATTTAATTCTTAACACTCTCCTGATAATAAGAGTCGAGTGTAAAATAAACTTATTTTGGGAAAAACTATGTGATTTTAAATTTTCTTTACAACCACTGTCCTTTGTAGTAAGCTTAGCAATCATACCTTTCCAAATCAGAGAATTAAAGGGGGGAAAGAAAGTTCTTTTCCTTGCGGACTCCACCATAACTCTGGTGGTTTTATTTCAATTTCAATACCAAAAATGCACTTTAGGCTGTTTTAAGGTGATTTCCACTTGTTTTGTCTGTTATTACCATGCTTGTTGTTTTCACTTTACGAGTCATCTTCATACCTTCCCTTGATTTTAATATTTTTTCTGTTCCTTTATCACATGTACACGCAAATCCTATGTTGGCAGCTGTCTTTAATTGAATATGCTAAATCTTGACATCAGTTATATATTGCTGCTAAACAAGTTACCCTGAAGCGTAACTTAAGAGAACCAGCATTTGTTATCTCAAGTTTTGGTGGGTTACATATTTGAGAGTATCTTAGCTGGGTCTGAGGTGTTTTAGTTGATAATGCAACAATGCAAACTTGACTGGAGTTGGATGGTTTTCCAAGCTTGCCCATGTGACTTTTGGCAAGTGGCTTCAGTTCCTTGCTACATGGGCTTGCCCATAAGGCTATTTAATAAGAGTCCTCTTGGCATGGTAGCTGACTGTCCCAGAATGAATGAGTAAGGAATAAAATCCATGTCTTACATGACAAGACTAAGTTGCTAGCACATTGTTGCTTCTGCTTTATTCTGTTTGTTAGAATCTGAAGATGTGGGGAACTAGACTCCTCTTGAAGAAGAGAAGAATAAGAATTTGTAGATATGTTTTAAACTGGAATGAACATTAGTAGAAAATGAATAGATGATGGTAGGACAGTGCTAGGTTGATTAACAATGCTTTTTACAGTGATATAATGTTGTGTATGTTAAATGACCAAATATGTGCAATGTATTGTTTCAAAATTAACAATTAGATGGGTATGTCAAAAAGTAGTCATTCTGTATAATGAAGTTTATTTTGTTTTTCATACAAATACTGCTTGTTCCTTTCCCTCTGGCAGAATTTGCAAGGGATGACTCCGACAGAACTTGCAAACATGGACCATTTGTTTGAGTTTCATCCTCCCATTTGGATAACTGACACCACACTTAGAAAGTCCCCTTTTGTTCCTCAAATGGGTGATGAGGTGAGAGTAATAAAATTTTAAAATCAAACATGGAATATAAAGCATTTTATAATGATGTCCAGCTTTTTTATTGTTAAGTATTTGTTTCCTTTTTGTAGGTAATATATTTTCGACAGGGTCATGAAGCTTACATTGAGGCAGTCAGAAGAAATAACATTTATGAACTGAACCGTAATAAGGAACCATGGAGAAAAATAGATCTTAGGGTAAGACTTAAACATTAAACATTAAAAAAAAACAACATTCAGCGCATTACTTAGATGGATAAATTGTTTATGAATTTATACAAAAACTTGGCATATTTCATGACAATCTTTCCATTAATTCCTGTCCCTCCCACCTCCAGCTCTTATCTGTTAAACTTTTAAGATCTGGTGGGATGATATATTTACCAGTGGGCAGACCTCTGGTATTGCTCTGGTGTGTAATATGTTATGTACAACAACCCAGAGTCTCACTAGAAAACAGCCCGGCAATATCTTTATATCAACAAACTTAAATGTGTTTATTTCCAACACAGATTTTTTTTTAGCCTCACGCATAATAAAATGAGATTATTTTACATCCTAATTCTAACCAATTTTGATAATTACTTTTTAAGCAACATAATAACATATTTAAGAAAGTGGCAAACATTTTAGTTTAAAATTCAGGTGTGTGTGGATAGGAGTGCACTGAAGTATTTAAAGCTTCTATAGGGTATCTTGGGAATAGGGATTGATAGAAAAATGCTTAGACTCTTTAAGTCAGTAATTTTATTAACTGTATAATTTGGAAACAACCAGAAATGTGTGTAAATTTATGTGGTAAGGCTATTTTGTGTGTATAAACAAAAAATGGTGGTGGTGGCTGGTGGGGCCGGACGACACCAAATACCCCCTGAAATAAAAAGATATCAAATCATGGTGCATCTATGCTATGGGTTTTTATGTATACCCTGGCATGTACATGATAGTCTTTCAAAATATTTGTTGAATTGAATGAATGAGGGTTAGGTTTTCACAATGTTTTATAAAAAGTAAAAACTGGATGTGAAATGCCATTTGGCGTTATGCTAGCAAAATTTAAAAGATATAATAAAGTCAAAAACAAATACATCAAATTTTAATGGCTGTTATCTGTGGAATAGTGTTAGATGTAATTTTTATTTTATTCTCATATTTTTATTTTGTGTATAAATATTTTCTATTAGTGTTAGGAAACACATATAATAATACTAATTAATTTACCAAACATGGCTTTTCTTAATAGTCATGTTAAACATATTATCCCAGCTCTTTAAGTTTGGCTTCCTGTATCTTTAAAGGAGCCCTGGTGGTGCTGTTGGGTATACGTTGAACTTGTAACTGGAAGTTCAATGTTTCATATCCACCAACTGCTTCTTGGAGGAAATAGGAAGCTATCTGCTCCCATAAAGAATTTTAGCAGCGGTTCTCAACCTGTGTGTAGTGACCCTTTTGGGGCTCAAATGACCGTTTCACAGGGGTTGCCTGATTCATAACAGTAGCAATATTATAGTTATGAAGTAGCAACTAAAATAATTTTATGGTTGTGGGGTCACCACAACATGAGGAAGAACTGTCACGGGAAGGTTGAGAACCACTGATTTACAGCCTAAGAGATTCTATGTAGAGGACCGACTTGAAGCCAGTGGTATGATGGATATTTTGCAAAGATTTATTTATAATGTCTGTTTTATTTATATAGCTAAGTATTTAGCAGTTTAGTATATTCTGATCACATTTTTGTGGAACAAATGCATTTATCATATTCCCAATATGGAAACATTTGAGGAGGGGGCCTCAAAAAACTCATGAAGAAATGGAATTAAATGATAATGGAAAATTCCACACTTTTTGAAGTCCGCATACTAAGGGGAAGGCTAATTATGGCAGATGTGCTACCCTGCTGTTAGAATAGCTCTTTAAAAAATAGGAATAAGCAAAATACTTAAAATATGTTATTGTATAGTATAAAACTATATAAACACGTTTATGAAGAGAAGAAATATATCAGAATGTTGTTGCTTTTCCTTAGATATTGAGCTGACTCATAGTTAGTATATACTATTAGAAATGGTATCACCTGTCTTCAAAATGATGTGGAGATTGATTTATCAAATAATATTGTGCTTATTGGCATATGAAGCTCATCTAATGTCTTAGATGACTAATTATGTGTTGGCCTGGTAAGCAATATGTGGAGAACTACAGCCTTGAGTAATTGCTGTATTTTAGCCATTTATAAACTATATCTGTTAAAGGATCAAGAATTGGTCAAGATAGTTGGAATACGATATGAGGTCGGACCCCCTACTCTCTGCTGCCTCAAATTAGCATTTATAGATCCAGCGACTGGAAAACTCATGGACAAATCTTTCTCTATTAGGTATGTTGTTATTATTCTCAGTAGGAGTGTGTATAAGGTCTCTATCGGTTGGATCCAACTCGATGGCAACTAACAACAACATATACTGAATTGATAATATTTTGGATATATTGAGTTCATACTGTCAGTCACATTACTGACATAAATTTCACTAGTTTCTTTTCCCTTTTTAAAATCTAATAGAAAATTAGAAGTTACATATGTGGCTCTACTTGTATTTCTCTTTTATTCCCTTTAATTTTAAATAATTTTATTGGGAGCTCTTACAGGTATTATAGCAATCTATAATTCATTTAGATCAAGCATAATTGTACAATTGCTGCTGCCATTAGTTTCAAAGCATTTTCTTCTTAAACTCTTTGATGTTAGTCCTCCATTACTGCTTGTATTTCTTTTGGGCAGTGTTGCTCTAGACTATAGCCCTGGTATACAACAAATTTAATAATCTTTTTATTTTTGCTTAGATATCATGATATGCCAGATGTTATTGATTTTCTTGTATTACGTCAATTTTATGATGAAGCCAGACAGAGGAATTGGCAATCTTGTAAGTTTTTCCTTATTAAATTTTACATATCCTTAAAAATTAATCTCTTCCTGGTTTAATCTTTGGATTTGCTGCTTTTAATTGTGGCGTATGCAAACATGTAAATTCTGGAAAGAAATACTAAGCAAATGACCAGAAGATTTTACTTACGGATTGATACTTTGTTCTTAGTCAATTTTTCAGTCAAGCTGTGATTCACTTGATTTTTTTAGTATATAATGGGTGGGGAGAATAATTTTTAATTTACTAATTCTAGGCTAGATTAGCTCTTATTTTTTAAAATTTATTTTTAATTGGGAATTAATAAATATTTCATTCCATACTTCAATCACGTCAAACAGTATTCTACAATTACTATCACAATCATTTTCTAAACATTCTTTTCCTTTCTGGACTTGACATGTCTCCCAACTCCACCTCCAACCTTATTTTTCGTGAGACTTACTTATGTAATATTTAATTACTTTTAATGTAAGTGACAGTGCTATAATTTGCAAAATTCCCCTAGCATCTAAAGTGATCAGAAGGTTGAAAAATAATCGATGAAACCTTACAGTATACCAAAATACTTTTCCTTTATTTTTAAGTGGAGTAAATTGAAGAACCACTAGTTTAGGAATTAATGCTTCATAGCCATCTAATCCGGAAAAAAAAAAACCAACAGCAGAAACCCAACAACCTTTCCACCACCACCACCACCACCACCCAAAAACACAAAAAAGCAATACAACTTCCAGTACTAAATTACTTAAATGTGAATTTTGTGACTATTTCAGGTGAGATAGGAACTCTGGTGGCGCAGTGGTTGCTTTAGGCTACTTATAAAGTCAGCATTTTGAAGCCACCTGCTGCTGCTTGTAAGAAATACATGACTTTCTACTCCCATAAGAGTTACCGTTTTGGAAACTCACAGGGATAGTTCTATCCTGTTCTTATAATGTTGGTATGAGTCAGAGAACTCATTTGTTTGGGATTGAGTAGGTAATTGATCTCCTTATGATATGTAATACCTCTAATAAGGCAAAGTATCACCAGTTAGCAGCTATCGTACATACCTGTTTTGCAGGTATGCATAAATGCTTTTCATTATGGAGTATCGAGGAGATCATTTATTTGAGTTTAACTATAGTAAATTTGTATTCCTTCTCCTTTCATCATTCCTGATTTCATTAAAAATACCGTTTTACCCAGGCTGTATCATCTGTTATGCATGTCCTTAAATAATACTATGGGCTCACCAATAAATATTTCTCATCTCTGCTGTTATTTTGGACAAAGTACTGCAGATATGTAAATTATAGATGCATACCTTAATCTCCCTACTTGAAATGAAAAATTGTGTGTGTGGCAATTCTTAATATAGACTATTCTCAACAGTCTGCACAAGTAGAGTAATTAGGATTCATTAGGGGACTTCGAGATTCCCCTAAAACAAATAGAGGAAGGTCTCTACTCCCATCAAGATTTATAGGTTTGGAAACCTAAAGGGGGCAATTCTACTCCATCCTATAGAGTTGCTGAGTTGGAATTGACTGATTTTTTAAACTGCCTTCAGTTCTGGGGTGAGATGGTATCTCACCATTGCTTTGATTTGCAACTCTCGGAGCTAGTGTATTTTTCTTTGTTGCCGTCTGAATGTCTTCTTTGATAAACTCTTCATGTACTTTGCTCATTTTAAATAGGATTATTTATGCTTTTCTTCTTGTTTCCTATAGATTTTAGAGAATCTATAGATTTTGTCCAGTATGCTGTTGTCAGAAATGTTTTCCCATTCTGTGCATTGCCTTATTTGTGAAATGTTTTGATGCACATGAGTCTCTTATTTTTAGGAAGTTTCAATTATTTGCTGTGTGTTTTGGTCGATGGTGTGTTTATGCCATGTATTAAGGGATCTTAAGTTTGCTCTATCATTTCATTGATAATCTTTATAGTGCTGGGGTTTAACTACACTTGTGCAATGTAGAGTTTTATAGCCACTACTGCTCTCAAGAAGGTGGACCGGAGACCAGGGAGCCTTGGGGACCAGGGAGCCTTAGGGAACCAGGGATGTTCAATCTCCTCCCTAAGAGAGCCTTCCATATTGTTGGTGTTTAACTCACCTAACTCCCACCCCACCCTCCCCCCTTTCAGAGATTCAGGGTTCCAGGATTTTCCTCTTGTAGCCGTTTTTAAAAAAATCTTTATTGAAGGAGGATTGTATAAAGTGTTTGTGTCTGGGTCACCATCTTGCTGGAAGGCCCACTGATTGGTATTTGGAAGTAGGTTGCCAGACCTTTTCTTTCTAATCTCAATTTGTAGGCTCTGCTGGAACCTATTCGGCCTCATAGTAACGCATCATCCATGTTACATGCTCTGATTTTCAGTCAATAATTGTGTTAACTGTTTTTAACAAAAAATCTACAGCTGAACTACAGAGATGGGTTCTCTTATCACCCAACTGTATTGATTTTGTTTGAAATTATACTACATCATCTACACAAAAATTTTAGTTCAGCTTTTGTTTTCTCATAATTATGATCTACTTGTTAAATCTTACACATACAGGAAAAACCTTGTGTTTGTTTTGACTACAGAAATGTAGGTCTTGGACTAAAGAATCTTTTTATCTAAACTGAAATTATCTCCTTGCTTTTCATAAATGGAATGAAATTATAGGGTTACAATGAATTCCAATGATTATGTTAACTAGGTTATTTACACTCACATTGAAGAGTAACGATATCATAGTAATATTTCTAATACTAAATAGACTAATTGCTGGATCATCCAGAATTTTTGAGGAAGTACCATGTGTCTTTCCACAATGGTTGTAATGTGTTACACTCCTACCAACAATTTGAGGGTTTCTTTCTAAAGTTGAATGTTTGTGAGATCCCCTTTTAAAGAAATACCATCAAAAGGCAAACTTTTACTATTAATAAAAGTCTGGATAATTTTCCTGTAAGGACCGTATTTTTCTCGCTCATAAAAGTCTTCTTTATACATAAATTTGTAACAGTACTAAAGACCTTATAATATATAGCTGTAATAGATAGTGTATTGTTTTTTATTTTCAAATGTTTATAGAATTTGCTATAAGCATACTTTAACTGGCCAAGGCTTATCACTGGGTATTTTATTGTAAATATTAATCTTCTTGGGTAGTAACATGAACTTTAGGCTGATATTGTTTGAGGAAAGAACTGTCAATTAAAGAATTAATGTTTTATAGGTGACTTGCTATCCCTTGAAAAAAGTGGCATTGGTGAGAGAGAAATGGCCATTATAGAAGTCTGTTTCTTGTGTAATATCTGTAAAACAAATATTAAAATGAGTTTATTTCCCCCAATTAAAAAAATGTTTAGTTGCAGGAAATTTTCTTTTCGCCCTTTTCATGATTTATGTAGAAGCCCTCCTGAAATCTGGTTTCCTTCTCTCTTTTTTTTAAATAATTTTATTGGGGCTCATACAATTCATCACAATACATAGATCAATTGTGTAAAGCATACCTCTACATTTGTTGCCCTCATCATTCCCAAAATTCGCTTTCCTCTTGGGTTCCCGGAATCAGCTCATTTTCCTTTCCCCCCCTCCGCCTCCCCCATGAACCCTTTATAAATTATTATTATATCTTATCTTACACTGCCTGGCGTCTCCCTTCACCCACCCCTCTGCTGCCCATCCCCCAGAGAGGAGGTTATATGTAGATCCCTGTGATCAATTCCCCCTTTCTATCCCCCCTTCCCTCCTGGTATCACCACTGTCACCCTGGTCCTGAGTGGTTCATCTGTCCTAGATTCCCTGTGTTTCCAGTTCCCATCTGTACCGCTGTGCATCATCTGGTCTAACCAGGTAGCAAGGCAGAATTGGGGTCATGGTAGTTGGGGGGAGGAAACGTTTAAGAACTAGAGGAGGGTTGTGGGTTTCATTATTGCTATACTGAACCCTAAGTGACTCATCTCCTCCCCACTACCCTCTGTAAGGTATATCCAGTTGTCTACAGATGGGCATTGGATCTTCATCACGCGCCACCCTCATTGACGATGATATGATACCCCCCACCCCCACCCCGCCTTTGGTGTTTGAAGCCTGGTCCCTTCGGCCCTTCATGATCACACATGTTGGTGTGCTGCATCCATGTGGGCTTTGTTGCTTCTGGGCTAGATGGCCGCTTGTTTACTTTAAAGCCTTTAAGTCCCCCGACGCTATAGGTCTCGATAGCTGGGCACCATCAGCCTTCTTCACCACACTTACTTAGGCACACATTCGTCTTCAGCGTTTATGTGGGGTAGGTGGTCACACAGTGATGGTTTTTGTTCTTTGGTGTGTGCTACCTGATCCCTTCAACACCTCGTGTTCACACAGGCTCGTGTGCTTCTTCTCTGTGGGCTTTGTTGTTTCCGAGCTAGATGGCCGCTTGTTTGTTCCCTTCTTATATATTGTTATGTGATTGTGGGATATGTGCATGTTTATGGCATTCTTTAAAATAATAACTAAGCATTTTTAGTTGGTTTTTATCATGTCATCTTAAAAATTAAAACATTGTTTTGTATGGAGATAGTTGCATGGTAGCAACTTTAGGAAATGTTATCTAATATGGATTTAATGTACTTTGAACAAATATGTCAGTAGTTCAGATTATTGTAAAAGATATATAAATTTTATTTAACATTTTTAATTGTTTCATGTTGTAAAATATAACAGAACTTATTTAAGGATAGGATTTTGAACTCAATTCACAAAATTTATTCAACAATCTGTTTATTTTGTTTTATGGCTATATCCCTCTAGTAAATTGCTGGGTGTAATATGATATCCTATGTTACATCTATTTTAATACAAGCCTGCCAGTGAGGTGGGAAGGATAGTTTTTTTTAATACAAAAATAAATGTTGATTTCTGTTTTATAAATTAAAAGCATTGTCACTAAGTGTTATAAAATACATTTATTTCAGTTGATCATTTCTTTTATAGGTGACAGATTCCGCTCTATAATTGATGATGCTTGGTGGTTTGGAACAGTGCTAAGTCAAGAGCCATATCAACCACAATATCCTGATAGTCATTTCCAGTGCTATGTTGTTAGGTTTGTATAACAGATGAAAATAATCATTTGCAGACAATTGTTCAGCATGGCAGGTTGTTGAAGAATAACTAAAACATTGCAAGTTGAAAACAGAACTGTTTACAGAGCCTTGGTGGTTTAGTGGCTAGGCGTTGAGCTGCCATCCACATGGTCAGCAGTTCAAAACCATCAGCAGCTCTGTGGTAGAAAGACTGGGCTTTCTACTTCCGAAAACAGAACTGTTTATTTGGTTTACAAGTATTGTCAGCCTGAGGTCTCAAATGTCTTTCCAATGATCCCCGAGTTTTCCCCTTCAAATTTTGTCACCTTCTCTTAAACTACTTCTATAGCATTCTAATAGCTCCTTTACCTAATATTGTCACAGGAGCCCCTGATGGTGTAGTGGCTTAGTCATTGGGATGCAACTCCAAGGTCAGCATTTTTAGTCTACCAGTCTCTCTGTGAGAAAAAGAAGCTTCTTGTTCAGAAATCCTAAAGGGCAATTCTGCCCTACAGGGTCACTGTGAGTTAAAATTGACTCTATGACAGTGAATAAGGAACATTTTTAGTAATATTGTCAGGGGCTTGGTTTAGAAACATTTATTTTTAATGTATTTATATATATTTTTTTATTAATCCTTTTATAGGGAGCTTGTAACTGATATGAAAATTCATAATTCAATTAGGTCAAGCATAATTGAATAGTTGCTACTACAATCAGTTTCCTAACATTTTCTTTCTTCTTGAACTTCTTGATACCAGCTCCTCTTTATATCCCCTCCTACCCCCAAGGAGCCCTTATTATTATTACTATTATTATTATTGCCATATCTTACCCCATCCAATAAATCCATTCACCTACAATTTGCTGTTTACTCCGCTAGAATAGGGTTATATAATCATCCTTGCTATCAGTGCCCCCCTCCCTTTCCCGTATCCTCAGGGAAACATTATTCCCATTACTGTTGTTCAGACACATATTTTTATCACTTTCCTTAAATGATACTTCGATGCCTGTCTGTTGGCCAGGGAATAAAGTCCATATTCTGAAGTATAGCAACCATTGCAAAGAAAAAGAAAAAACCACCATTGCCTAACCTTGGGTTTTGGCCCCACAGGATTTCTGCTTTGCTCATGCATACTTTATACTTTTTAAAGTATGTATTTTTTAGAAAGTTAATATTTAAAATCTCATTGATACAATTAGATTAATTTTTTATAATTTTTTGGTGCTCTTGTAAGAGATACTTGTCTTTAGCTACAATTTGTCTTTATTAAAGGTTAACCAAGCTCGTTTGTGTGGGTTTTTCAGGTGGGACAATACTGAAATAGAGAAACTTAGCCCATGGGACATGGAACCAATTCCTGATAATGGTATGTGAAATTGTTAACTAAATGAAAATATTTTATCTTTATGTAATTTTCAATTTCAGTAATGTGTAAGCATATATGTGTTCTTTGATAAATTATTGAAATTATAGCAACTATTAAATTCAATAGAAAACAGAATTGTATCTCGTTAATTCTTATCTTCAGATTCTAGCTTTATACTGTGGATCAGCAGTCCACTGTCATTTCTGATTTAGCTCTGGTTTAAATAATCATTTGATTTCTTCCACGTGCCCTTCATTTTCGTTTCCTCATCCTTGTTTCACCTTCCCAAATATATCTAACGTGCTTTGTCTCTGCTTTTGGATTTGGGGTTAAGCATCAACAAGTTTATCTTCTTATGGATTATCTCTTCTATTCTGAGAAATATCTTTTCTTTCTAAGCTAGCCCTTCCTCCAGTGTTTGCAGTCACATTGTTTTTTCTCTCTTTAGTTTTCTGAAGGACCTCGTACTTAGTAATTGACTGCTTTCTCCATTGCTTGTAGTTTCCTCCTACTTTATTATGGTTAACATTGAACATTTTGATCCCTGTGTCTAAGAACCTAATTAGCTTTTTCAATGGGTGTTCTTTTAATTTTAAGCTTTTAAAATTATTGTATGTATATACATCTAGAAAGGCAAGCAGCTTGGCTGTGAACCCAAGCTATTAGCTCCAACCAATGCTAAAGAAACCTGATGATGCTATTCATTAGGTGTTGGGCTGTTAATCACAATGTCAGTAGTTGAAACACCAACTACTCCAAGGCAAAAAGATGAGGATTATCTGCTCCTAAAGTTTTACAGTCTCAGATAAGTAATTTAGAGTTTGAATTGGCAACGGGTTAGGTTTGATTTTGGGGAATATTTCAACTATACCTTATAGTTCTCTTCTATCTAGCCATTGCCCTTGGGTCAAATCTGACTCATTAGACAGAGTAAAACTGCAACATGGTTTGTGAATCCTGATAGCATGCAGGAGGCCTACTACAAGTTGGATTACTAACCATAAGACCAGCAGTTTCAACCCACCAACTGCTCAGAGGGAGAAAGCTGAGGAAGAAACTTTTCTCAAATGTCATCAGACTTCCCAAATGTTAATATTTTACATAACTACTGCTGTACAATGGTCAAAATATGGAAGTTATCATTGATACAGTATTACCATTTGTACATCTTACTAAATTTTGTCACCTAATCGACCAATGTCCTTCCACAGGTAGGCTGCAGTACTATGTGTTCTTAGTCTCCTTTAAACTGGGATTCTTGTCTTTCACTTGACACTTGAAGAATATAGAATTTCCCTCAAATTGATTTTTTTCAGATTTCCCCCCCCTCGTAATTAAATTCAGATTTTACATTTCTGGTAAGTGCGTTGCAAAAGTGATGGCCCTTTTCAATACAAGAAGATGCATGCTGTTGATTTGTGCTGTTCGGGTCATGTCAACTTCATTTACTTAGATTGGTTAGTGTTTGCCAGGTTTCCCCAATTAGTTTTTTTTAATGAATGTGTTTAAGAACCTAATTCATATTCTTCAAATATCCTGTTGCACATCTTGCTTTCTCCTACTGATTTTAGAATTCATGATTGTTGGCTGAAATTACTACCGGTATTATTGTATATGTCAAATAGTAATTTTTTTCATTTCCTTAATTTCTTCATTTATTAATTAGAACATTATTCTCTAAGAAAATTTACTAACTCATTTTTTATTATTAATATGCACTAACATAGACAAAAGGAGCCCTGGTGGCATAGTGGGTTACACGTTAGTTAGGCTGCTAATTATAAGGTCATGCATTTGAAACTACCAGCCAACCCGTGGGAGGCGGCTTTCTTCGCCTGTGAAGATTTACAGCGTTGGAAGCCCACAGGGAACTTCTGCTCTGTCCTGTAGGGTTATTATGAGTGAGATAACGGGAAATTTTTGGTTTTGGAATCTATCTATCTATCTATATCAAGATTCTTATCAATCTTTATACATAATATTATATGTATTATATTTATTTATCATTGTTTAGATGAGATTGTCACAAATTCGACCATTAGCCTGTTCAGGGTGGCTCCTGTGTTGACTTTTTTTCATAGTTTTTTAAATTAGTTGCTGATTTCTTGGGACTATGAAGTCAATCTTGTATTTCCCAATCCCAGCCTTGGAGTGTAGTGATTATGCTTTGGACTGCTAACCACAAGGTCAGCAGTACGAATCCACCAGCTACTCCTTGGGAAAAAGATAGGACTTCTACTCCTGTAAAGAGTTGCTGTCTCAGAAACCCACAGGGGCATTTCTACCCTGTTCTATAGGGTTGCTGTGAGTAGGCATCGAGTTGATGGCACTTAGGTAGGGGTGGTAAACCTTATGATCAGACAGTACTCTGTGTAGCCACGGTTCATTTTTTGGAGAAATTGTGTTTAAAGTACAAGATCTGTGCATTAGGTATATACCACCATTTCTCATTTTGAAGAGATTTTAAAAATTACTTCCTGTTGAATTAATTTGACTCATGGCAACCTCTCCTTTGGAGAGTTTTCTTTTTTTTTTTTTTTTTTTTCCCCAAACCATTGTATTGGGAGCTAATACAGATAGCCTATCATTCCATAGTTCAATCACATAAAGCAGCATTGCACAGTTGCTACCACAATCATGTTTCAGAACATTACTGTCTTTCTGAGCTCCTTGATATTAGCTCCCCTTTCGCCCCCCTGGAGAGTGTTCAATGGCTGAATTTTTTGGAAAGGAGATTGCCAGGCCATTCTTTTGAGGCACTGCTGGGTAGATTTGAACTTCTAACTTTTCAGTTAGCAGCCAAGCACATTAAAACCATTGGTAACACTTGGAGACCTACCCCAAGTTATTCACATACCATGAATTTCAACCATTAATAGTGCTGTTAGCATCAGTAATGAAACATTTTCATTACCTTATATTCCTTTAGTTATCTACTACCCTCTATCTTTTTTTTTTTTTTTGCTACCCTCTATCTTAACGAGCCACCAATCTACTTTCTTTTTCTATGTGTCTATTTTAGACTTTTTATGTAAAAGGTATTAAAATTATAGGGGTGGACAGCAAAGGAGAGGAAGGCCACCAAGGAGATGGATTGACACTGTTACTGCAACAATGGACTCAAGTATGGGAACAATTGTGAGAATGATACAACACTGAGCAGTGTTTCATTCTGTTCATACGTTCACTGTGGGTCAGAACCAAGTCATTGCAACTAACAACAAAGTACATTATATGGTCTGTTGGGTTTGACTTCTTTCACTGAGCATAATGATTTCAAGGTTCACTCATTTGTTTATTAGGTGGGGGTTTTAGCATTCCAGACCACCAACCTTGCATTCAACAGTTAGACCTACCCACGAGTCCCTCACAGAAGCCTACGCTCTATCTCTTTTCCTTTGATTTCTCCCTTTTATGAGTAACTTTCTGACCTTTGCTTATTAATATGAGCCTTTCTTTGATACAGTCATTAGCATTTATACTTATCTGTACAGTGCTTCTTAAAGCCTACTTGTTTTCTCGTAGACTTTAAACCCCCCAAACATTTCCTATGAAATTCCTTCCTGTATTATGTAACCTCTATTAAATTAGGAAAATTAGACATTTGTTACATAGGTATATTTTATGAATTTCGTTTTAACTTTTTAAAGATTAATTTTTTATTTTATTTAAGATTAAATTTTAAAATATATTCAGTCAGTATTTTCTTCAGAAGCCTCTTGGTAAAGTTTGACTCTTTGAAGTAGATTGAACATTTGTTAATGATTGAAACCTCATGCGAAAATTTTAGTCATATGAAAAGGTTATGCTGCTACTAAATTTAATCAATTTGATAATTTAAATAGATAATTTTCAAGGTTGTGAATTTGAACTCTAATTTTAGATGTGCAAGTAACCTAATTTATAACATTTTAACTTTGAATTTAGATGTAGTATGCATTCATTTTATGATGTGTTCTCTCCTTGTCCCCTTTGGATCCCATCTTTTTAATGGAATTCACAGTAAATCCACCTGAAGAATTAGGAGCTAGTATATCTGTCACTTCAAATGAGCTAGAGAAATTGCTCTATAAGCCACAAAATGGTGAATGGGGTCAGAAATCAAGAGATGAAGAATGTGAACGAATTATCAGGGGCATAGATCAACTCTTGAATCTTGGTAAGATTTTTTTTCCTTTTTTTAAAACATTTTATTAGGGGCTCATACAACTGTTATCGCAATCCATACACACCTCAATTGTGTAAAGCGCATTTGTACATCATTCTCAAAACATTTTCTCTCCACTTAAACCCCCGACATTAGGTCCTCATTTTTCCCCTCCCTCCCGCTCCCCCCTTCCTCATGAGCCCTTGATAGTTTATAAATTGTTATTTTGTCATATCTTGCCCTGTCCGACGTCTCCCTTCACCAACTTTTCGGTTGTCTGTCCCCCAGGGAGGAGGTCACATATAGTTCCTTGTAATCGGTTCCCTCTTTCCTACCCATTCTCCCTTTACCCTCCCTGTTTCACCACTGACACCACTGGTCCTGTAGGGCTCATCTGCCCTGGATTCCCTGTATTTTCAGTTCCTATCTCTACCAGTGTACATCCTCTGGTCTAGCCAGACTTGCAAGGTCGAATTCGCGTCATGGTAGTGGGAGCGGGCAGGAAACATTTAGGAACTAGAGGAAAGTTGTATTTCTCATCATTGTTACATTGCACCCTGACTGGCTCATCTCCTCCCCGAGACCCCTCTGCAAGGCTTTGTAAGATTTTTATGGATGAAATATTTTGTCTTCAGGTTTTCTTTTCTATAAAAGTATTTTAAAATAGCATGATTACAGTTGTGTTCTTATTTCATTATCTACTTGTTAACTTTTGGGTTAGCCTGTAATATTTAATGTAACTCTTTTATGAATGATTTGTAGAGAAATGGCATCTAGAAGTCATGGATTTATTGATTAAAAACTGTTCTCCCTTAACAGATATAGCAGCAGCTTTTGCGGGTCCAGTTGATCTGTGTACCTACCCAAAGTACTGCACAGTAGTAGCTTATCCAACTGATCTTTACACAATTCGATTGAGGCTTGTAAATCGATATTACAGGTTAGTAGGAACCTGTTTTCAGAAAACAATTTGAAAAGATTTTAGCCAAAAGTAAACAGAGAGAGAGGTACAGTGGTTGATGGTGCCAGTAGGTGGGGTGGTAACATTTTCCTTCTTATTTTCTTTCATCATAGTAATTTCTTGCTTCTGTATTAGAATTTGTTAAGTGTTTACAAGTAGGTGGGGATTGACCAAGGCATGAAATAATTATTATGTCTTGATTTTCAATATATAGTAGTCTTTATCATTGAAAAAGAAAATTTTATTAGCAAGTAACCTGTAAAACCAAAACCAAACCCACTGCCATCAGGTTGATTCCAGCTCATAGAGATCCTTTGTTGGGTGTCCAAGGCTGTAGATCTTTATAGGAACAGATAGCCTCATTTTTAACTCAGAGCAGCTGTCTTTGAACTGCCAACCTTGAGATTAGTAGTCCAATGCTTGCCTGATAGTTCCCGTGGGCTCCTTACTCCTCTAAATCTTAATCTCTGGCTATAGAACATTGGTAAATATAAAATTTCCTATATCTAATGATAATTTAGCTAGTGATAGTAGTTTATAACAATTACATTCCTTTGAAAAGTTGTCATTACAAAAATATCTCCAGCCAATGTGATCAGTGTAATTTATCTTAGTATTTAAATAGGAATTATGTATCATAATCAGAAACTGCTTTGCCAATTTATAGTGAGATTGACTTTTTAGTGGATTTTAACACATTTTCTTTATTGGATGGCAACATATTCAAAAGGTACCTATACTTTCTGCCATTTAGTTCTGCCATTGATGTGTCCTATAGGGTAGAATTGTCCCTTTAGGTATCTGATGCTGTAAATATTTTTGGGAACAGTAAGCCTCTTCATTCTCCCTCAGAGAAGCTGGTGGGTTTGAACTGCTGATCTTGTAATTAACAACACAACATGCAACCCACTATGCTACCAGGGCTCCTTAAAGATTCATTTGGCAGTGGGAAAGCAGGGCTACTTTGGTGACCTATCCGTGATAAAATGATGTTAGATATTTTTGGTTCTTAAATGTATTTTCTGAAATTCACTGTTAACTAGAATTGATTATGATTATGATCTAGTTGGCAGCGTTAGAAACTTTGCACTATGGTTTAATTAAGGAGCACTGATAGTGTAGTGATTAAAAGTTGGGCTGCAATTGCATGGTTGGCAGTTAGGTTTATGCGGGAGAGGCTGGGCTTTACTCTCAAACAGTTGCTGTCTTGGAAACCTACAGGGGTTGCTATGAATCAGCACTGACTCCATGGCTGTGAGTTTGGTTTTGGTGGTATAGTAAGTGGTATAGTTATGCTGTGATCCTCAAGGTCAGCAGTTCAAAACCACTCACTGCTCCTTGGAGAAAAAAAGCTATCTATTCCCATAAATGGTTACAGTCTCAGAAATCTACCCTGCTCTCTAGCATTGCTTATGAGTCATCAGCTCAACGGCAATGAGTTTGTTTGTATTTTGGTTTGGTGGGATAGTGGGTTTCACTGTTTGTTAGGCTGTTAACCACCGCAAAGAGTCATTTAAAGCCCGTAGCCTTACAGGGTCAGCTCTTTTCCGTTTTCTGTTGTTTAGGGTCATAATTAACTTGAGGGCAGTGAGCTCTTGAGTTTTTTATGGTATAATTAATTGGTCGTGGTGACAATATATTGTGCTAAGGGAAATTTTATTTTTTACTTGTTTTCTGTCCTTCTGTTTTGTAAGTCTTAATTTACATACTTTGTTTTGAAGGAGGCTGTCTGCATTAGTTTGGGAAGTAAGATGCATTGAACATAATGCCAGAACATTTAATGAACCCGAGAGTGCAATTGCAAGATCAGCTAAGAAGATAACTGACCAACTTTTAAATTTTATTAAGTAAGTTGCCTCATATTATAGATGTTATAGGAAAGTGATACTGTATTTTGTGTCTTAGAACTACACCCAGTTTTTGTTTTTTACTCTCTGAAGTATATCCATTTAATATATAACTAAATGACATATGTTTATACATTCGTTGTGATTAAACTTTCATTAAAGGAATTCAGAATTGAATCATTTTCTTCTGCTTTAAAATTTTTGAAATAATGTTACACTGAAGAAGAGTTGCCAGAAAACCTTCCCCAGCTTCCACTTTGGCAACATTTTCTATAACTGTGGCACACTTACAAAAATATTAAGACATCAACCTTGGTAAGGTACTAAATGGCTTATAGAATTTACTTGAATTTTTAACAACGTACTTTATCAACTTCAGGATTCAACCTAAAGACTTTGTTGTACTGAGGGTTTTCTTAATCTAATTGTCACTTTGGTGTGGTGACTGTTAGGAATCTAGAGGACTCTTACTTGGTCACTTCCCCTATAGAATCTTGTAATTTTCTGAAGAAGGAACAGCCACACGTTTTTGGCTTTTCTGACGAGCTGGTCCTATTTTAGCATTCTTTCTTTGTATACAAGCTAAAATACTATTTGTTTTAATTTTTAATTCCTTCAAATCCTTTTCTCAAATCAACCTTTTTTCTCTTTAAGTTTTACTTCATTTTTGACACATGTAATTCAGTGCATTCATTAGAATTTTTGACTTGTATAGCTATTCTTTACTGAATTGCTCGTCCCTTGTTACCATTAACTCAGTGCTTGCTAAGGTTTCTATGTAATCTTTCAAGTTGCTGTTTGTCTTATAAGAACATAATACTTAAGGCAGACTTTTTTTCATTAGTTAAGCAAATTATTGGTTTCAAATCAACATTTTCTTGGCAGTTATAAATTTGAATATAGCTAATATACTTAGGAAAAGTTTTGAGTATATACTTAAGAGAAATAAACCTATAATTCTCAAAATTTTGATTAGAAATTTTCAATGGTTAAGTTTTTTCTACAGAGGATTGGATCAAAATCTGCTATTCTTTTGCTTAAAATTAATTATGCATAGACAGGAACTGTTTACATATTAATTCATATTTTGAATATTTAGAAAGAGTTAACTGATTTTAAAAGTGAATAATTGCTTTACAGGAATCAAGACTGTTCAAATATCTCAGAGTTTACTAACACGTCTGAAAATGATGAGCAGAATGCTGAGGAATTGGTATGAAGTTTGTCAATTTTATAATGATTTTTGCTCATCTGAATTGTTAACCTAAAAAATGAATGCAGTAGAAAATGTTGATTATCTAATGGTCATGCAATTTATAATATGCTGTGAACATAGAGAATTTGAAAAATATTGCTATTTAGATTTACATAGATGATTTAATGAAGTATAATGGATAGCAAATAAATAAGAAACTTATAAATTATTAGTACCTTTAGGTATGTGAAATGTGTTCTTACAAATTTTAACTTGAGAAAAGTATGTTTTTAAAAATACCTTAGAAGTATTTTTTTGTAAACCCATTATCTGTGTATATTTTAAATAGAATTAAAAATTAATAAACCTGACTATAGTCCCAATACTCCATAGTCCTACACTCAAGATGATACTAAGTTTAAGTACATAGGCAAATATCTAGGATGTTGTGTAACTTTACACCATACATGATCACACTCTGGTTTGATGTTTTAGGAAATACATTTTAAAACAATATGTTATCAATTTCTATGCAAACTTTTCTTTAGTTCTATTGTTTTATGCTAATTTATGTGGGAAATAAATGGATATAGTAATATGATTTATGAAATAATAGATTACTAAAATTAGAATAGAAAGGCCATGCATTCTAGAAGGCTTATGTGGCTGTCTTAGAATGAGTCTGAAATAGGTATTCACCTTTGTTTCTCATAAATATTTGATCTATTGGTGATGATAGGCCTATTTCTAATGCCTCTTCACACCATTTACTACTGGAGACAATCCTCAGTGTGTTTAAGATTGAGACTTGAGAACCCACTCAAAAAATTCATCCTTTAACATTTTGTTCCTTAACACATTGCTGACCAGCCATGAGCATACTTGTGTTTTTACACTTGAATGTGGCTGACTGGTTATGAGTTTTTGCACTTGTGTTTGTACTTATATTCATTTATGCAGTTTGTAAGTCTGAAAGCAATATTGGTCATTATAGGAGTCAGCTGCATGGAATTAGCACCAAAAGTCTTAAGAGTGAATTTTCTCGAGAAGCAAAACCAGTCAAGTGTATTTGTAACAGTGTGAACAGTGTGTGTGTGTGTGTGTGTTTTTAGAGGGAATGATTTATTGATTGATTTTAAAGAATTCACACACTTGTAGAGACAGATTAGTTTCAAGTTCAGGGGGCAGACAACAGAGTGGAGGCTTCTTAATCATGTAGTTATAAAGTCTGACAAACCCATAATCTGCAGGTCAGGGCAGCAATTGTTCTGGCTCACATCTCAAGAACTGTAGATGAGAGCATGAATAACCACGCTGGATATAGGAAAGGTGGAGAAAGTGGGGAACTTTGTCAGAACATTCATATAGATTGGATGCTGGCTACTGCCCCTCCATTTCTAACACATTGGCTGCTCAGGTCAGTTGACAAAATGGAGGGTGATTAGATAATATCTGCCAAACCAATGAGAATTATGGCATACTCAAGTTGATATTATCTTAAATATCATAGTGGCTTTGAGGTTTTATAGGTAGAGGTGGAACACATTAAGGTACTTGTGTGTTTTTGCTTCATCACATGTACAATGTTTGACAGTGATATGTATATATATATAAATGTTTTTCCCCTCCAAAACCATTTTATTGGGAGCTCTTACAGGACAGTTAAATTTCTTAAATTTCAGAATTAATATATTCTTCTTGGGGAAATTGAAAAATTCTTGGTTCATTGGAGTATGGGTGTTATAAAGATCATCTAATACAGTTGGTTGTAATTCTGTTGATTATTTGAAATGGTTTTTATTAAAGATTATTACATTGCTAACGAGAACATTAAAGTGCTTTGATTTTATTTCTAGGATGATAGTGATCTTCCTAAAACATCTTCTGGGAGAAGGAGAGTAAGTCTACCTGACTTGAGTGGCCATTTTGTTTACTTGTTCTTTGTTTAAAAATCAAACTTTAGAGTTTTAAGTTTTACCTTTGAAAAGTTTTATTTATACAGATTTTGAATATTCTATAAGAAATCAGTTCACACTGATGGGTAAGTTAGGAAAAATTTAATGGGGAATTGGGCTTTGAGCTATGTTCTTTAGGGTAGATGGAGTAGAGTGGACATAGGACATCTGAAGTGTGGGGCAGAGTTGAGGGGGTGGATAATTAGGAGGAAAGTCACCACTTTGGTCAGTGTGGTATGTTAATGGGCTACTAGTGATAATGCAGACCTGACTGGAGGTTGGGTGGTGGATCAAGGTGGCCATGTCTAGTTTTTATGTCTGTGTCCCCATCTCTAGAACCCATGAATATGCTACTTTATGTGGCAAAATGGTCTTTGCACATATGTTGGGAGTTTTTATGTTGGGAGTAGGTTGTGTAATACTGAAAACAAAATATTTCACTTTCATTTAAGGTGGAGAATTATTTGCATAGCTAAAATAGATTTTGAGAGGCGAATACTCAAAGTCATATGTGCAAAGACCATTTTGCCACATAAAGTAGCATATTCATGGGTTCTAGAGATGGGGACACAGACATACCTAAGCATCTTCATTCTCTTTAGTTATCTAGTGCTACTACAGCAAAATAACCAAAAACAGGTGGCTAGCACACACATTTATTTACTCTTAGGAGGCTAGAAGGCTGTTCTATCCTATCTGGGGGATGGTCATTATTTCTCTTCAGCTTCATTCCTGGGTTCCTTGGTGATTTTTTATGTCCCTTGATATCCATCTTCCCCACCTATTTCTTTATTTCTTTGCCTAATTTACTTTTATCATGTATCAGAATCATCATAAGACACTCTCTACACTGACTGATCAGCCTATTAACGTAACAAGGAAAACCCTATTCCAAACTGGATTATATCTACAAGTACAAGGGCTAGGATTCCAGTGCATTTAGGAGGTGGGGCAGAGTAACAATGGGATGTTTTTCAGTGAACAAGTTCTTTTTTCCCTTCGTGGTAGTTACAGTCTAAAATAGTTGAAATTCTCAGACCATATGGAAGATACAAGCTTATTTGCATTTTTAAAATAATGTAATACCATAGTGTGACATCTAAGACAGAAAAATAATTTAATATTGTGAACATAATTTTAGGTGCATGATTGGAAAAAAAGCAGCAAAACATCCAACTGTGTTGAAAACAACTGGAAGAAACAGTGTAAGGAACTAGTGAACTTAATTTTTCAGTGTGAAGATTCTGAACCATTTAGACAACCTGTTGATTTGGTTGACTATCCAGTAAGTTTTCATTGTTAAAATGTTTGGGGCTTTTTTTTTTTTTGTAGAGAAGAAATAAGAGAAAATTGTTAATAAATTTAACTTTACAGGCTAAGGTATCTAGGCTTTATATTACCTTCATCTTAACCACTTAGCAGTAGTATGTCATCTATAAGAAGAGTTGTTTTACAGTTTTCATGAATGTGTAGACACCCTTGTAACTCTTTTAAAAATTAAGACCTAGTTGAACCTGTATTTTAAAATACGTTAATGTGAGAATTTTAGATAGCTGTGAATTTAACGGTGGTGGTGTGGGCTGCTAACCACAAGATGGGCAGATCTAACCTACCAGCTGTTCTGTAGGACACAAATGAGGCTGTCTGCTCCTGTAACGGTCTATAGTCTCGGAAACCCCTATACAGCTCACAATGAGATGGAAATGAGTCAGTGGCAGTGGGCTAAATTAAATAGGAGCCCTGGAGGTACAGTGGGTTAAATGTTGGGCTGCTATTTGCAAGGTTGGTGGTTCAAATTCAACAGTTCTTTCACAGAAGAAAGATGAGCAATCTGCTTTCATGAAGATTTACAGCTTTAGAAACCTATGGAACCAGTTCTACAGTGCCCTGTAGAATCTATGAGTCAGAATCAATTAGGTGGCAGTGGGTTTGGGTTTTGGGCTTTGGTTATACATTAAATAGTGCCAGGCACAGGAAACTGAGTTGAATAGAGTATCTCTTTAACAACTTCAATTGGGAAATCCCTAAAAAATTAATATTTTCACAATACAAATTATTAAGCTTAAAAGTTATTTTTTAAAAACCATAGAGAGGAAAAAGCCTATCATAATCTCACTACGAAGATATACCTGAACATTTTGATATATTCCTTTCTATGTTACATATCTGCCTTAAGTTAGGTTTTTTTTCCCCCTTTCATCATTAAGATAGCTCATAGATCTAAACCATCGTCATTTATAAAAGCAGAAATTGAGTCTTTCAACTAATTTTTGATTTTAAAACTTAGGACTATCGAGATATTATAGATACGCCCATGGATTTTGGAACAGTAAGGGAAACACTGGAAGCAGGAAATTATGACAGCCCTTTGGAATTTTGTAAAGATATTCGGTTGATATTTAGCAATGCAAAAGCATATACGCCGAACAAGAGATCAAAGGTAATTTTCAAACTGTGACAGCCCTTTGGAATTTTGTAAAGATATTCGGTTGATATTTAGCAATGCAAAAGCATATACGCCGAACAAGAGATCAAAGGTAATTTTCAAACTGTGTTGTTAAAATAAGTGTGTGTACATGACCTTCGTAATTTGTTGGCAGAGGTTGGAACATTAAAGCTTAGTGACTAGAATTAAGACAGCTACTACTAAGGTTAAGAATATAGCTCTTGCTGCCCAGATTACTACTGCTGCCTTACAATAAGTTATATTTAGTTTTCTAAAGTTTCATGACCAAATGAGGATTGGTAAGAGTGGAGAGACTGGTGGAATATGAACAAATTTGGATTTAATAAATAGAATGAGAAACGTGTGTTTCTGACAACATATGCTGGCCTTAAATAATTGGAAACTTGACAGAACTAGAAGAAATACTAAAAGTAATAAAGATCAGTATAGAGGGTGAAATTAATGAAGGCATGTTTTATTGATTATAAACAAACCAACTATCATTAAGAGCAAGGATTTAAAACACCCCTAAACTTTTAAAGTGAACGTTGGATAACTTTTTACAAAGAACACATTTTGCACTCAGTAAGTTTTCACATTTTTCACACTCTTTTAATCAGCTGTGCTGGTTCATTCATAATACCTAATCTGAGAGGTAAGACTTAAAATGAACATTTGCCAGGTAATAAGTTTTCTCTGTTTATAATCAGTGACTATAACTACTAATTAATTATTTTTGCTTTCACTCTCCTCTAATTACTTAGTATTTGATTCCCGCCTTATTTCACCTCATCTCAATTTGGGAACCCTTTTCATAGCATTCAGTTACCAAAATTGCTTTTTGATGTAATTTAAGATTTAAGTCTAACATGTTTTAACCATGGATTTATGTCATATTATCACTGATGAGACCATTTCTTTACATTTTGAAAATAAATCTCTTGTTTAACATACATGTTTGAGCATAAGACAGAGGCTATAACAAGTACAAGTGGTTCAACTTCTGTTTTTGTGTATTGTATACTGTGTGCTCAAGACTTAATTTTGAATGCATAATGTATTAGGAGATTTATTAGGATAAAAATGTTTTTTATGCTTTCATAATGATGGTAATGCCTGCCAGTACAATTTTTTGACCCCATTTTATTAAAGTATTTATAATTCTGATGTATTAATTGAATTTTTCATAAAAATCAAATCAAAAATGATAATGCTGATAACTAAAGATAATAGAAATTTTAAAACAATATGATCAAGACAAAAAAAATCGGTCCTTGTTGAAATTGGTGTATTTGTAGCTTAATTGGATACTCATTAATCTTACACTTAAGCTAGTGTGCAGTTTTGAAGCAGAATAAAATTATATGCCATGCAAAATAATAGAAATATTGTCAACGTTTATTTCAAAGATGAGGCGTGAAAAAAACAAAAACAAAGGTAAGGCGTGATTAGAAATCTCATGTTATTAATTATAGATATTAGGAGGCTTCAAAAAGTTCGTGGAAAAATTCTAGTCTTTTAATTCTATTTTTCCAGGGGCTTTTGCATGTATAAACAGACACGCAAACATACTTGGAGCATACTGAAAATTAATATATCCACACAGTACCTTTTGTTTCTTTCAAGGAGCCCTGGTGGTTAGGGCTCCTTGATTAGGTTGGGCTGTGGTTAGGTTGGGCTGTTAATCCTGAAGTTGGTAGTTCAAACCCCAGATGCTCCTCACGAAGATGAGACTATTTTCTCATGTAATGAAATACAGTTTTGAAAGCCCTAAATATATAATTATTATGTTGGAATCAATTTGATGGCAGTGGGGTTTGGGTTTGTTTCCTCAAGTATTCTGATGTTGTAGTCTCTTTCCCTCCCTGCTTCCTACTTCACATACATAAAGGTGGTTTTCAATTTTTAGACATTAGACCAGTGGTTCTCAACCTGTATGTCGTGACCCTTTGGGGGCCGAATGACCTTCTCACAGGCGCTGCCCGATTCATAACAATAGTAAAATTACAGTTATGAAGTAGCAGCAAAAATAATTTTATGGTTGGGAGGGGGGGGTCACCACAACATGAACTGTATTAAAGGGTTGAGGCCTTAGGAAGTTGAGGACCACTGCATTAGACGTTTGCATTTATTTTTAGGAATGATTGTGAATGAGTGTAGAATACTTGTGAATATACAGTTGTACTAAGTTATTTACAGTAGTTCTTAATATTACATTTCCTTTAAAGATTTAATATTAATTATGAAAATTGTTAAATTACAAATCAAATTCTAGGGTGTATTTTGTTCTTTACTAGTTGCAAAACACATTGTTTATAATTTTGGTCTAGGTGGAATTAAAGGTAATCACATTTGACTGTGTAAAATGCTTTTGTTTTCGTGTCTCCATTGAGACACTGCTTTTGCTGTGTAACCAGACAATGTCCCACCTAACTTAGAGAAAGGGTACCTTTTGAAGCTTACATATGCAGATGTAAAAGTGAGAAATAAAGAATGAGAACTGTAGACAAAAATAAATAACTCTTTGATTCCAGATCCTAAGTGGATAATGTAGATAACAGTCATTATCTACAGTTAATGAGATAATACGGTGTAAGTAGCCTCAGTGATGATTTTTTAGGAGGCGTGATAAAAGTATTTAAAAAGATATTTCATAATCATGATTTTGCTTTTGTGTCTTCACAGATTTACAGTATGACTTTGAGATTGTCTGCCTTGTTTGAGGAAAAAATGAAGAAAATTTCCTGTGATTTTAAAATTGGACAGAAATTTAATGCAAAACTTAGAAGAAGCCAGAGGTTCAAGAGGCGGCAAAATTGTAACCGAGTGAATCTGGCTAACAAAAGTATCAGGTGAACTGGTTACTGATTAGCTTTATATGAAATCATTACTTTTTTTAAATTAGGATTTTTATTATGCTACAGATTTGTAACCTTTTATAAAATACCATATATTTACAGAATAATAGTGATGGGACTTGTTTTGTTTTGAAAGTTTCTGTGAATAGAGCTGTTGGTGTATAATTAAACACTGGAAAACAAATTTTTAGCTTTATGAAGGATTATTTAAATTACCACTTATATTTTGCACAAGAAATAGCAATTTAAATACAAAGAGTAAAGTGAATTAATAACTATGCATTTGTAGGCTTGAATTCTGTATAGGAAAATGTTCACTCTTAGGTGAGAAGAAGAAATAATGAGATACAGTTTAATTCCCTTATCGGTAATTTGATAAAAATTTAAGTATTCTATGACTTTTAGTAATATGAAATTTATAGGTATGTGATTGTCTTGAAATGTGAAAATTATCCATATATTTTTTGCATGTGCACCATTTTCTTAATTTTTAAAAGTTTTATTGGCATATACTTCAATACATAAAATTTAATTGTTCAATCATGTTAAAAAGATTGGTGCAGTCCTCAGTTTCCCTCCCCTTCCCCACCCTTCCCTGCCATGCCCCTAGGCAGTTATCAATCATTTTACTGTCTCTATAGATCATCTATACTGTATTTTGTATATGGAAACCATGCGAAACACAAACAGGAAGCAAGCAAGCAAACAAAAAAACCCAACAGTCACTAGAATAAAAAGAAAATACTGAACAGAATATATTAAAAACTGAAACAACTTTAAAATGGGCCAAAAGTGAGATCAAATGATAAGGTATTACCGTATATCTCGAGTATAAGCCGACCCGACTATCAGCCAAGGCACCTAATTTTACCACAAAAACCTGCAGAGGCAAATGATCATTAATTAACAAGGCAGGAGAGAAAGAAAAATTAAAAGTGGATGTCTGAAGAGACTTTGAAACTTTCTCTTAATCGTAGAATATAGCTAATAAAGATGGAAGATAGATGGAATGATGAAGCCAAAGAGCTGACTAAAAAATTTCCAATGGCAGTTGAAGACAGAATCAAATATTATAATGAAATGCAGAGACATAGACTTAAAAAAACAAAAAGGAAGAACATGCCTAGCATACCTTAAACTGAAAGAACTCAAGAATAAGTTCAAGACCTGAGTTACAATGTTCAAAGATTCTATGAGCAAAATATTGAATGATGCAGGAAGCATCAAGAAGATGGAGAGAATAAGAGTCACTGTACCAAAAAGAACTGATTGACATCTCACCATTTCAGGTGGTAGCATAAGAGCAAAAACCAATGGTGCTGCAGGAAGAAGTTCAAGCTGCACTGAAAACAATAGCTAAGAACAAGGCTCCAGGAATTGATGGAATACCAACTGAAATGTTTCAGCAAGCTGCTGAAGCATGCACTCGCCTAGGCCAGGATATCTGGAAGACAGCTACTTGACCCACTCTCTGGAAGAGGTCCATGTTAGTACCCATTCCAAAGGTGACCCAACAGAAGGCTCAACTTTTAGAACAGTATCATTGATATCGCGTGCAAGTAGAGGTGTAGGCTGGATTTAGAAGATGACGTGGGACAAGGGATATCATTGCTGTTGTCAGGTGAATCTTGGCTCAAAGCAGAGATTACCTTAAAGATGTTTACCTGTATTTTATTGACTATGCCAAGGCATTTGTGTAGACCATAATAAAGTATAGATAACCTTGAGAAGAATAGCAATTCCAGAATACCTCATTGTGCTTATGAAGAATTTGTACATGTATCAAGAGGCAGTTATGCAAACAGGAAAAGAATACCGTTGGGTTTAAAACCAGGAAAGGTTTGTGTCAGGGTTGTCTCTTCCCACCATACTTGTTTAATCTGTATGCTGAGTAAATCATCAGAGAAGCTGGATTTTATGTAGAAAAAGGTTGCATCAGGATGGGAGGAACAGTGTTGCTTTCTGAAGTGAAGACTTGAAGCATTTCCTGGTGAAAATTAAAAATTGCAGCTCTCTGTGGATATAATATGATCAATGTAAAGAATACCCAAAATCCTTGTGGTCTCTTTCTTTGTGTGGCTTTGAATTACTGATTAAATGGTGTGGAGGACAATCCATCTCCTTATCTGCTCAAAGCCTATTGCCACGAGGCAGAAGTCAAACATGCCTCTTGCCACAATCCTCCTTTTACTCTACTCAGACAACAACCTTTCCTCCCACACACTGCTCCTCAATTGGATTTAACAATCAATTGCAATGGCGGCATAGAACTCCCAAACAGTATTATTATGGCATTTATTAGGGAAATTAGCACATTAGCACAAATCAGGATCAGTAAGCATTAAGGATACAGTCATTGATCCACAGCAGCACCTCTCTTCAACCAGCAGCCGGGGTTCATTCTTTGGTCCTCAGCCTGTCAGCCATGTGGTTCCTTGCCTTCTGCCTCTGTGGGTCAGGAAGCATCCCTGCTGTTCTGCCTCATAGTCTCCATGCTGCCTCACTTTGTCTTAAGGTCTCCTTGCTTAGGCTTCAGCTTTCACCCTGGCTTGGCCTCTGCCACATCAGACAGGGATTTCAACTGTGCTCCACTGGTTGGTCGTCTTCCTTGATGTTCCTGGGAATTTCCTCTGCTTTCTGCGATGACTGTCATACACAGGAATGGCTTTGATAGAGGTGTAGGTTTTGTCTTTTAGCAGACCATATCTCCAAGGAAACAGAGGGTGGTGATTTGATTCACAACCTCTGAAAGAGTGGAGACTCAGATTACATCCTACTTTAATCTTGTCCATTTGCATCACAGAGAACTCTCACCAAAGTGGAATTACAGTAACAGGCATAGAGGCTAAAATTTATAGTAAGTCACATAAGAGATTATGGTGAGAAGGGCCATATTAATTGAGTATATCTCAGTTACCCTCTGTTGTCATTTCACTTGATCTTGAAGGGTTTCATTTAGTATTTCTTGTAAGGCAGATTTGCTAGAATCCTCTTTTTTCTGCAATGTTTTAATTTCACTTTCATTCTGTGCTCCATCCCTCCACATTACACATGGTGTTACATTTTATTAGTTACTATTATTTGGTTCATAAGGTGACCTGGGGATATTTTGACATATTATGCCGCTGTGTAAACAGTGCACATATAGATAATAAAGTGCATGGTATGTACAGGTTTACAGGAGGTGCTTATGCAAAAGAAGAAAACCACACACATAATGGGCACAAGCTACATAAATGTGCTGCAGTTTCTGCTAGTGCAGTGGTTCGCAACCTTCCTAATACCACGTCCCTTTAATACAGTTCCTCATGTGGCGGTGACCCCCAACCATAAAATTATTTTCGTTGCTACTTCATAACTAATTTTGCTACTGTTATGAATTGTAATGTAAATATCTGATACGCAGATATACTTTCATTGTTACAAATTGAACATAATTAAAGCAGTGATTAATCACAAAACAATATGTAATTATTGTGAAATATTTATTTCTAATTACAAATAAATGAAATTTTGTCTTCAAGCATGGGGGTAGCATGGGTGATAGTCTTCAAGCCTGGTATTCCTGTGTGGGCGTATCTGCATGTGGGCGGACCCGCCTGGAGACGGATAGAGGAGCGGTGTCTTGGTTCCTAAGACCATCGGAAATACATGTTTTCCGATGGAAATACATGTTTTCCGATGGAAATATATGTTTTCCGATGGTGACCCCTGTGAAAGGGTCGTTTGACCCCCAAAGGGGTTGCAACCCACAGATTGAGAACCACTGTGCCTAGTGGTTCAAAGAAAATCTCTGGACAATAGGGTCCGGAGTACTTTTTAAAGAATATGAGCTCTATTCTACATTTTCTCCTGTGTTTTCAAGATCCATGTATTGTAGCTTTGATCTGAGTGGATGGTAATTGTAGAGAGGCACCATATAGTTATGGTTTCAAGGTAGAACTGTTAGCTCTACAGACTCGTGTCTTCTTTAAGTCTTTTGGTTCCCATTTTTTCCTTTTGTTATAGACAAGTAGAGACCGACAGTTGTATTTTTCAGGAACTTTATTTTGTAAATTGCAACTATAACATTTAGGTTTTTTAGTTCTCGGGTATAGTGTGAGGTATGCCTCATATTTCATTTTAATACAAATGGATATCTTTTTTAAAAAACATTTTATTAGGGGTTCATACAACTGTTAGCGCAATCCATACACACATCAATTGTGTAAAGCGTATTTGTACATCATTCTCAAAACATTTTCTCTCCACTTAACCCCCCGACATTAGGTCCTCATTTTTCCCCTCCCTCCCCGCTCCCCCCTCCCTCATGAGCCC